GACATTTGGAAATTTCAAATTAAGGTTATCATGAATGCAGCTGAAATATTTGATGTAGTAACAGGAAAATCAAAGAAACCAATTTTAGCAAAAATCGGTAATGAAACTGAAGATGAAGCGAGAAAAAGGCATAGCGTTGATTTTTCAATATGGAAAAGGGCAGATAATAAGGCTCAAAAATATATCGTCACATCGTAAGATGAACAACCTCTACAATACATAATGAACTGTGACACAGCAAATGGTATGTGGAACAAATTACTTAGTGTGTACGAACAGATGTCGGACACAAGCATAACAATAGTACAACAAAAGTTCTATCGTTATACAATGGATCCAAAAGACAATATAGCAGGTCATGTTTCAAAATTAGAAAATCTAAGTAGACAACTAAAACAATTCAGAAAACCTATCTCAGAATCAATGTTGATTACAAAAATTTTGATGACATTACCTGATAGCTATAGGCACTTCTACAGTGCATGGGACTCAATGAATAGTGCAAATAGAACGCTAGAACAGTTAACCACTCGATTGATGGTGGAAGAAACACGACAAGTGAAAGGACAGGAGGTCCGTGACGATAGTGCTGAAAGTAGTGCTTTGACTGCAACCAAAGGCAAGTATAATAAAAGTCAAAAATACGTGAACAAAAATGATAATACAAAACCAGGAAAATGCAATCACTGTAAAAAACCAGGACATTGGAAAAGAGACTGCAGGATATTCAAAAAGGAACAAGAAGAAAAGAAATCAACTTCCGGTTTGGCGCTTATTGGTGTACAAAGAAAAGACTCAGGTGCGAGCGACCACATGACAAATCGAAAAGAGTGGTTCGTCGATTATAAACATTTTGATGTGCACTCGCTTGTACGTATTGGAGATGGTAAGCACATTATGGCAGTTGGAAAAGGTAACATAAATATTCATACTTATGTTGACAATAAGTGGATAAAAGGCTACTTAGAAAATGTTTTATATGTACCTGATCTAAAGGTAAATTTATTTTCTTATGGGGCATGCCTTGATAAAAGAATTACAATGCTGACAGACAGTAAAGGTTGCTCATTTAAAATTAATAATCGTGTAATTGCAGTCGGTGTTCGTGAGAATAAATTGTTTACAATGCTAATCAAAACAGATATTTCACAGGAAATTGGACACTGTGCTAACGTTGCAGTTAAGAAATTAACATTAGAACACTGGCACAAAATACTATGTCATCAGAATGTCAAACATGTTCGTGAGTATTTAAAACACAATGAAATACAATTTACAGATATACAAGGACAGTAATTCTGTGAACCATGCATCTATGGCAAACAGCATAAGGAGACGTTCACTCAGAGCGAAACAATAACTACTGAACCAGGGCAAATAATACACAGCGACGTATGTGGACCCATGGAAGAGAATTCACTAGGAGGGAAAAGATATTTCATTATATTTAAAGATGATTATTCTAAATATACTTATGTCTATTTTATGAAACATAAATCTGAGATTAAAGAAAAACTTAATTGTTTTCTGAGTATGGTTAAAACTCAAACAAAATACGTTATTAAAACTATTAGAAGTGACTGTGGATTAGAGTATAAGAATTTCGAAGTTCAATCAATTCTAAATCATCTGGGTATAAAGCATGAAACAAATGTACCTTATACTCCTGAACAAAATGGAAAAGCTGAACGTTCAATGAGGACTATTTGTGAGGCAGCCAGAACAATGATATATGCCAAGAATTTTCCAAAATCACAGAAGCAGTCAATACAGTAGTGTTCTCATTAAATTATACTGGTAATTCAGGGAAAGTATGTAAAACTCCATACGAGTTATGGTTTGATAAACTTCCTAAAACAGAAAAGTTCGTAGAATTTGGAATAAATGCATATAGTTTAGTTCCAAAACAACGACGAAGGAAGTGGGATGCAAAAAGTCGAAAAGGGTATCGTATTTGGTATAAAGAAAATAACGAGGTGTCACTTAGTAAAGACGTCATTTTTAAGGATGAAAATGTTGTAAATTACCAAATTGTAGAATGTTCTAATAACTTAAATGATAGTAATAACATTGATGTTCTTAGCTTACACAAATACGGCTCATTAGAACACAGCAATAAACCAGAAGGAGATGAAGTCATAGAAAATGAATATGGACCAATAAGTGTAGATGACAATGAAAATCAAGAACATGAACAAGGAAATGAGTCAAATGTCAACGTGTACAACTTGCGAGACAGAAGTAATATTAAGAAACCATTACGTTATGATAATTCAGCATTTTTCGTAGTCGAATCCGATCCAGTGAATTTCAAGGAAGCTGTGGAGTCACTAAATTCAGAAAAATGGGTGGAAGCCATGAACAATGAAATGGAATCTCTTGAACAAAACGGAACATGGTCTCTCGTAAAGTTACCTAAGGACAGAACTATTGTAAATTGTGGTTGGGTGTATAAAACAAAATACAATGTTCATGGACATGTTGATCGATACAAGGCTAGGCTAGTAGCAAAAGGGTATAGTCAAATATTCGGTATTGATTTTAATGAAACTTTTAGTCCTGTAGTAAAGTTCGATTCAATTCGGTCTATATTAGCTATATCAGCGGCAGAACAATTACAACTTCGACAATTTGACGTTCAAACAGCGTTTTTATATGGAGATTTGGACGAAGAAATTTACATGAGACAACCAGAAGGGTTCAACGATGGTACTGAAATGGTGTGCAGACTTCAACGCAGTTTATATGGTCTAATAAGCAGTCACCACGATGTTGGAACATAAAGTTCAAAACATTTCTTCTCAACTTTAATCTATTAGAAACAAAAGCAGATCCCTGTGTTTTTGTTAATAGAGAAAATAACAAAGTATTAATCGTCGCTATATTTGTTGATGATGGTCTAGTTGCAGCTACATCGAGTGAGGATGTAAATGCATTAATGGAATATTTGAGACAACATTTCAATATTACCGAAGGAAAATTGAATCAATTTTTAGGTACAGAAATTGTGCAAAAATCTGATGGATCAATTGTAATGCACCAAGTGTTGTATTGTAAAAAAAATATTGGAGAAGTTCAATATGACTGAAGCAAATCCAGTTCAAATACCAGCAGACCCTCAACATTCATTGGATGACAAGCAACAAAACACCAATCTAACTAGTAAAGTCCCATATCGTGAAGCAGTCGGAAGCTTATTATATCTCAGTCAGATTACAAGACTGGACATAACTTTTTCAGTAAATCTAGTTAGTAGATACATCGAGGATCCAAAGGAACAACACTGGACAGCAGTGAAACGAATTTTAAAATATTTAAAGGGCACTATTAATTTTGGATTGATATTTAGTTCTAGACAAAAACTCATGTTAAAGGGATATATTGATGCTGACTATGCAGGTGACTTGGATACAAGAAGGTCAACATCAGGGTCAGTATTTACATTAGGATCTGGAAGTATAGCATGGAGTTCACGTCGTCAACAGTGTGTTAGCCTTAGCACAACTGAATCAGAGTACATAGCTTTAAGTACAAGAATTAACTTGGTTAAAATTATTTTTAGGTGAATTGCTGGACCAGCCAAAAATGGTGCCAACAATGTATGGAGACAATCAAAGTGCGATTAAACTCGTAAAAATCCAGAGTTTCATAGAAGAACAAAGCATATAGATGTTCGCTACCACTATATGTATATATATATCCGATTTTACTATTATTTACCTTTAACTTCTGTATATCTGTGTACTTCAACAATTGGAACCGTATTTTGTCAGAAAAATAATTCATCGGAAAATATTGTATTGGACCCGTATTTTGTCGGAATCGCCCGAAAATAATTTTTTCAAATGAAAATAATTAAAAATAAATCCCCCCTCTGCTATTTTAGTAAATATTAATTGTTTTATCACTTGTGAAAAAAAAAAATATGTGCTATATTATCAGAGACTGGTATTCTAGAGTCTAGACTAATCTATATCGAGATGCCCTCCTCCTAGTTTCTGCAGGCGTCCTTTTCAAGATGTGTATTACCATCGAATGTAGAAAAAAAGCCACAGAAGAATAATCCACGGGAACAATAAGCCACGGTGAAAAAGTCAAATAAAAATTAATAAATATATAAAAAAAATATAATTTAAAATATAAAATTATTATTTTAGATTTTGAGTAGAACGATGAATGTATTGATTTTGGTAGGCGGAAAAAAAGCCCAGAAATATAAATATAAATGTGAACACAATTAGGGTGGTCCTTAGTTATAGAGGTCAATTTTTTTTTTTTTGGAAATTTGATGACGAGTACCCCAAATGTTGTTCTATGTATTGAAAAAATAATTATGATAAAGTTTGGGCATAATAAGTCTACCCCTTCCCGTGCCTCAAAGGGGTTGAAGTTTTACTAATTGGGGATGAATTTCCATTTTTTACGTGTACTCTCTTAAATATTGATATTACGCAAAAAACTTAAAGTACTATTATTGTAGCTATATATATTTACTAAATAAAAGTTTCTTATAAATATGTTGTAAAGTTGATGGAATCCCGAAAATTAAAAAAAAAAACTAGTCATAATTAATATTTTAGGAAATTTTATAAGTTTTTAGTTTTTGACCTCTAATCTCTTAAATATTAATGTTACGCACAAAACTTGAAGTACTATAATTGTTGCTATATATAATATTTATTTACTAAATAAAAGTTTCTTACAAATATGTTGTGAGGTTTAAAGTTTCCTGTTAATTAAAAAAAAAAAATAATATATAATATAATGATTATTTATGTGTATTTTTTGTTAAAGTATCTTTGGTATGGCTTGGATATTTTTTCCGGTACTCTTGTACTACCTAAAAAAAAATCGTAAGTCATACTAGTTATCTTAGTTATTTTGTAACATACAACTTACCTTCAATACATACTGCTTTTGATTTTCACTTTTTGTAAATTTTGTATTAAAATCGTCCATCAATTTGACACCACGTTCGGCTGCATCATTTATAAATGGTGTCAAATATTCTTGGCCTCTATATAACTATCGATATTCGGCAAATTTTCTGGATTTTGATGTAAGAACTCCATGCTTAGTTGGAACCTTTGGAATAGGTTTTTCGATTTAGGCGTTAATAATTCAAGTGGTAAGTCTTGTTTTAAAAATTGTGAGACATCACCAATTTTTAATACATATTTTTTTTGTATTTCTGTGGTCAATTCGTCTTCTTGAAGCTCGTCATTTTCTAATAATTGTTGAGCCATTTGTTTTTTCACGTGATTTTCAATCCTGTCATCAAATAACGAAAAACAAGCGGTTTCTTCTCCCAGATACCATAAATGATTTATAAATATTTTTATAGCAAGCTCAGCCACTTGCTTATCATCGGACTTATAGTCTTCAAGTTTTCTTAAAAAAATTACATCATTATAAGGTGCTTCAATAGCATTAGGAGACCTAAACCTAAACTCTATGTAGCATTTCACAATAAAACAGCATATAGTTTTTAATGAAGTTATTTCTGCTTTTGTCAGTTTAAATTGTTCTTGAAATATGTATATTTTCAAACAATATATTCCCTTACACATCCATCTAGCTAGATGATAAGCTCCTGGACGTTTAAAATGAATACCTTTAGGTGGTACCCCACCCAAAAAAAAAATCACCAATTCCAAAAATTCTTTGTAATCATCCCTTGGTAGATTTTGGTTTAAAGTATCTTTACAAAATATTATAACATCATCGGCTACTTAATGCAATATTTTTTTGACCTCATTATCACTTACCCAAGTGCTATATTTTGTTTGATCTGTTTGATTCCAGTTATTTTTAAAACGTTTAAAAATAGGAATTTCGGGACCAGACATTGTTGTAAGTTTTGAGTATGAGAAAACTGATTGCAAAATAATTTCAAATATGTGATGCCGACAAGCCAAAAACAGTATTGGTCGGTTTAACATTTGTTCTAATTGCACACATGATCACAAAAGAATATTAAGTTTATTAGACATAAAAACAAATAGAGGTGAGTTATTTTTATATGAAAATGATGCGCTAAATGAAATAGTTATTTTTTCATGTAAAACAAATATAGATTTGTTAAAAGAATTAGATGTTTTATATATGGATGGTACTTTTAACTATAGTGATAAATATTATACGCAACTATACACGATTCATGGCATTGAAAATGGAGTGTACATTCCGTTAATGTTTTGTTTATTGCCAAATAAAGAAAAAGACTTACATTGCATTATTGAAAACAATAAAAATAGATGGAGTAATACCTAAAAAAATTATTTTAGATTTTGAAATAGCAATGCATCAAGCAGTTTTTGAAATTTTTTCGGAAACAGAGGTGTTTGGATGTCTTTTCATTTGGGCCAAGCTTGGTACCGCAAAATTCAAAATTTAGGTTACCCACCACAATTTAATTCTGCAAATGACGATGTAGGAAAATGGTTGGTACATATTTTTGGACTTCCTTTTCTCAATCCAGAGGAAGTGGCAGAATGTTTTACAGAATATTTTATGGTAGACAAACTTGAAAATACAGCTATAACCGAATTTTGTGATTATTTGGTAGACAATTATATATCAAATGAATCAATCTTTCCTCCGAAAATGTGGGCACGGCAATATTCTGATAGAGTCCATATGACAAATGCTTGTGAAAGTTTTCATTCAGATTTAACTCTAATTTTTATCACCAACATCCAAATATTTTTAAAATTATTGAAATTCTCAAACTTTTTCAAGTAAATACGTATATAAAAATAAGAACTAACCTAAGTAACCTAACTAAACTAACCTAACCTAATAACCCAAAACCAAAAATCAGTAAAAAATACACCGAAAAAGAAGATTTTATAAATGAAAAAATTTCAGATTATAGAACAAGCAAAATAAATCAATACGATTATGTTAAATTATTAAGTTATAGAAATAAACCTCATAAATTATAAGTTTTCATTTTTATTATATTTTTTACTTTTTATATTATATTATATTCAATTATGAAAAATTAAAATGCATTATACGATTTTTATTATATTTTTTACTCATCATATTATATTTATTTGTGACGATGCGTTATGCGATTTTTTTTTTGATTTTTTACTCTTTATATTATTTTATATTTAATCGTGAAAAATTAAAATGCATTATGCAATTTGTATTATATTGTATAATCATCATATATGTATTTATTCGTATATACATCGTATATACATATGTACACCTTTTTTCCACAGTGTAGGAACTAACATACGTACTTGGATATTACCGTGTAGGAACTTACATTCGTATCTTTTTCCGCCATGTAGTAACTAACATAGGTACCTGGTTTTTACCGTGTAGGAACTAACGTGTGTATTTTTTTTACCTGCTACTCTTGTGTAGGAACTTACATTCGCCCGGGTAGCGTTCTGAAGTGGCGCATTAAGGGGAGGGTGAAAGGGGAAAATGCTCCGAGTGGCAAATTTTGGGCGTGGCAAAAAATTATAACTTTTGCTTATGATGACGTGTTCATGATTTTTTTTAATTTTAAACATTTTACGGTATTGACGTATTGTTGTGTATTTAAAATACCTACGTACCTATACCTACAAATTTTGTATTTTAAAATACATTGTTAGGCATCTAATTAGAAATTAAAAAATTATACGATACCTATCAATATTATAATATTATATGGTACTGGTTTGGACCAGTGTGCGACCTACTACTGATAATTAACCTATCCTTATCTTTACCGGGCCAATGACCAATATGTGTATAATTACTAATTTTCTGCCCTAATTAAGAATACAGTTTTCGATTAGTTAAATTTATGACACAATATGACTATTTATAAATTTGTCAAGTGATCAAAATTATGTGGAAAAGATATGATAGTTCAAATCGATGAGTCGTTATTTGAAGGAAAACACAAATACCTACAACCGTGGTCGTCTTTGATGTGGTGATATTAAACCAAATGAGGAAAGTGAAAATTATAGTGATGATATCGATTACCGAAGAACATAAGAGTGCGCAGCTCTTCTTAGCAGGTTATTATAATATTATACAATAAGATAATATAATGACTTTTATCTGTAAGACCTCGAGTTTGGCGATCCTACCTGGTAGGTATAGCCGTATAGGCGTAGCGAGCGACTAGGTACTGTCTACTTGTCATACTTTGTTATTGTACCTACCCCATGAATTAAGATGTATCTGTTTATTATTATTATTATTATGTACTATTCAGTGTTATTAACTCCAGGGGCGTCATTGGGGGGGAGGTATATTTGCACCAACTTTTTTTTTTAAATGCCGTGGAAACTAAACGGAATTTGTTCCTTTATTTAAAATACAAGTAATGTTTTATAAATTTATATGCGTATTTATATTTTATTTTGACACTGGACATCCCCCTCCCCTCACCAGTCATTCAAAAATAGGATGGAATTTTATGAGTGCCCCGGGGCGCATCATTTTTGAAAATGACCCTACTGGTGGATAATAATGTTTTCCAATAAGTAATTTGTTCCAATAAGGTGCTTGATCATGCGAAAATATAGTACTTACGCTGCAAATAATATAACATTAATGAAATTAATATCTTCGCATATGTAAGTATAAAAATTTAATCAAAAGTTTTTAACTGCAGCGTACAGTGAACTTGTTTTCACATAATTATTTAGTTAATTAATTGAAGGGAGATAATTGAATTGAAGACCTAGTCTATTATTATTTTTTACTATAACTGTGTCGGGTCGTCGGGATACAATCGTTCGTCTATAACTGGACTTTTTGGTAGTCTACCCATCTTTTGCTTACCTACCTATTTCGAGTTTTAAAAGTCTATAATAAATACTTTACACATTTATTTCAGTTTACACTCAACATCCGAAAGAGGTTATTTATCTATAATTATCAACGTATACTGACATACTGTATAGGTACGGACTGCGCGGCGGACCAACAACGACACATTCCGACATTCCGTTCGACTGCCACGTTTTTGGAAAATAATAATATAAATGATAAACATATAATAAATGTATAGATTATCGTATTTTAACGGACGCCATAATAGTTTTGTCTTTGACTCCAGTGCCGGCACAGCGTTTTGCGGGGCCTGGGACAAGTAAAAAATGTAGGGTCCTTATTCCTATTTTATACATTACATAATACATCCCTATTCTAAATTAACACTAGATTTAATTCAAAAGGTAATTATGTCCATCAATTTTTAATCAAACAATAAATTATTGTACGTTAGGTACCTAACCTAACCTATGTACGATTAGTTTTTTTCCTAAAGGCACTTATTCCAGATTTTTATAGGCACATATAAATAAAGGGACGTATTCCTGGAAAAGGAACGTGAAAATTATGAATAATTACTATATAAAGTTTTTTTAAGACCAAATTGTCCTCGATCGAATATAATATGTGTTTCCACTAATATACGAATTTTAGACAGAGATATAATTGTTTAAAAGATACATTAAATTGTTTTATACATCTATCCATAGGTACCTAATATACTAATATACATAAATAGTATTATTTATAGTATCTAAAACAAAGTATAATGATATTGTACACAAACGGTGACCCGTGAGCCGTTTGATTTTTATAGTAACAGTCTGACTTGTTATTATCGACGGAAATCAAAACGACATACCTACCAGCACGTCATGATTATGTTCCATAGATTTGCAATTACTTTATAGGTCTATCGTCTATGCTATGTTTTATCCATTTTACTAACGCATAATATACCAATATTTAAAAATTCAAAAATTTTAACAACCAACGAAAGAACACAGATAATGTTCTGACATTTAAATTTAATAATATTTAATTCACTCTATTAATTTAAGCTAACAACACAAAATTGGGACTATTGTAAGTATGTTTTAATATATTATGCGTTAATAAGATGGATACAACAAATGCTCATCATTTTAGAACAAATAAATGTTATATGGGCCACGCAGGGCCGGATCTTAGCTTTTTAACACCCGTGGAAAATAAAAATAATACACCTAATTCAGGGATATGACCAAAATAAGTATTTTTATACTATTTCAAAGGTCAATATTTGTAATTTTCAAGTTTAAATTAATAAATATTATTGGTAATAATAACATGTATTTATTAAAAAATCCAAATTAGGTATAAATTGCTCACTTTTAATATAAAGAGCTTTATGTAAAAGAACAATATTTAATTTACAACATAACAATATTATACATTTTTAATATTTGTT